TAACCCATTGAGTTTGATATGCCATAAAAACACACACACACACACACACACACACACACACACACACACACACACACATATATATATATATATATATATATATATATATATATATATATATATATATGCGTATTTGCTTTAAAAGGAAGAAGTTTTCATAAAATTAAACCCGGATATTAACCTTATGACATTAAATTGGGATGATCCGTATAATGAAATGTTAATTGAAAAAATAAGAGAGGAATAAAACTGGGTTTTTAAATATATAGATGAAGTCATATTTAAAAATAAAATATATTTAAATAGAATATAGTCTTTTTAATAAAGAATTTTAATAATAATTTAAATATTTTAATAATATAAAATAATATAATATTAATATATTTAATAGACATTTATTATATAAATATAATTATATATAATATTTGAGCTCTTTTTATGGATCAGTTTTAATATTTTTATTTTACTAGGATGCACTTGAATTAAATACCAACGAAATTTTATGTTTACTAAATATATATATATATATATATATATATATATATATATATATATATATATATATATAAATTCTTAAATAATTGTATAGGCCACACTACAACATGTTTGACATGCAGACTCACTCTACCTTTCTGGCCAGAGCTCAATTAAATCTCATTTAAATATTCATGGAGACCGACTGGACACTATTCGTAACATACTTGTTGACAACACAACTATAATAGCATCATCTACATGCAAAAAAAAAGGCTAAAAATAATGGAAGCCTTATTAATAAAAACAAAAAAACCAACACTTAATAATATTAACTTTGAACATGGATACATTATTTTGACCGTGTTTTGAAAATGAAAACATTATATAGTTACATACATACAACAAAGTATTTTTTGTTAACAGTTAATATATTTTAACCTTGGAAATGGCTAAATGTATAGCCGAAAGCGCTTGGATAAAAAGAACAATTGAACTGTTTTTATATAATTTATAAATTAATTCATAAATTTGTATAAAAAACTAAATCAAAGCACCTTGTCTGTTGTATTCAATGAAATGTGCATGAAAGAAGGATTGCTGCCTAAATACACAAAACTATATCTATTTACCTATCTCTCTCTCTCTCTCTATATATATATATATATATATATATATATATATATATATATGTGTATATATCCATTAAGTTTCCCTTAGCGCTGTTTCCATCTGCGTACGTTTTCTTTCCATATTATTGATCTCTGGGAAGCCTCAAGGGATAACTAGTCTTATTACGTAACATCTTTGCAATGTCAATACTATTGATCAACTCAGGTCAGATTCCGGGGCAACTAATATTACACGATATTCTTTTACACGGTTTTCTCATCGATATCACCGGCGTCTATTCAGGTTTATCAATATTTTGAACGATTGTGTCAATTTTATGGCCTGCAATTCTGTCCCAAAATCTTTATCACACTCTCCCGTGTGAATCTCATATTAAAAACTTTAATATCAGGCCAGTTTGCAATTAAGATTTTTTTTTAACGGAGATCAAAATGTAGTATCTTCTTTCAGGCTGACAAACTATATTTTATTTCTTAATCGTCTGTCTGTCTTCGGACGGAGCGCGACTTAGTTGTGTCTATGGACAGAGTGCAACTGAAAATACAGTAGAAGACCTCATATCTGAACTTGTGTTGCCATTTAGATGTTGCTGGAATATACTACATTCTAATAGTTTTCTTTTCTTTGAAGATAACTGCTAATAACTTGAAATTTCTCAACCCATTTTGTCTCGCATAGAAGGAACTTCAACTGGAAGAAAAGGGAAAAGAAATTCTTTCACTAACGCCAGAAATTAGAGATTATTGAATAACTGAGGGAAGCTCCTAATTTGTTGGATTTTCAAATTAACAATGAAGGATTTCAGAATCTGAAGGAAACACTAAAACTTACGCTTGAAGTTGATCCACTGAATACCTTCACTTTGGATGACTTAAAAGAACGGGTAAATGAAGAAAGTTAATTAATTACAAAAGAATTCAATGGTAGAATCGATTCAAAATGATTTGCATTATCAAGAAATAGAGGAAGAATCAAAGTCTCCTGATAATGGTAAAAATATGAAGGATGATGAAGAAGACTGGAATTCTGTAGAGAAAGCTATTGATGAAGTCATCAAATTCTTGGAGAAAAAAAAATCTTCGTTCAGTCGAACAAAATGTACAAATGCACATCATTTGCAGAAATATCTTAAAAAAAATTAGAACAGTGAAAAGTAAGCGAAATAAAAAAAGAAATAAAAAAGACAATTGAAAATAAAAGTTATTCGCTTTAAACATACCAAATTAATATTTACTTTCGTAAGACATTTAATTGTTCATATATTGCGATAAATTCTTGTGTTTTGTTAAGTTATAGTCATATTACATATGCCACATTATGTCCGAACTTGTTCTCATATCTAAACTGCTCTCATGTTTAGATATGTGGACATTTACTGCATTATTGAAAAGCCGTACGCGGCAGTACCTATCTTACATTGCGCTAAAGATGGGGGATTTGTAGTAAATTCGCCAAACACAGTGGTCCTTAAAAAGGCTAACGTAATCAGCATCATAGCAGCCATTATCGTCCCAGGCTTCACAGGACCGATCATGCTACCACATCCTTGACGAAATCAAAATACCAATACAAAGTTTGGCTGATTCTATTATGAAATGTTCCTTTATGTAAATTTTTTCTACATGAGAAATTGTTTTCACGATATGGATTTTCCTTCTATATTTAAATATTTCTCTTCCTGTTACATGTTTTCTATAAGTGGGATTTTCTTCTATAATTGTTTATCGTCTGTTAACCCTAATATTTTTCATTTACTACGCCTATGAGATTTTTAATTCCTTTATATCCCTCTTTCTTCCCTTTGACTAAATACTAAATTTTTATATACACTGAATTTAAATTTAATCCTTTACAGTATTTTTAAATAATTAGTATAAATTTCATACAATTTAAATTATAAACTTAATTTTTGAAATATTATTAATATTGTCCTCATCTTTGTCTCCATATTTATCACAACGTTTCGGCCGTTGTACGCTCCACCTTCTTCAGGTGGTTCGAATGTCGAACTGAACCCTTTATTTCACTCACTGGTAGACTGTTCTAGTTCCACGTGCCATATTTGATATCCTATTAATCCTCTGAAAGTTCTCCACTGCTTTAACCGGATCTAACCAACGCCTTTATCCACTGTGCCATGTGTCCTTGAGGACATCTGGGTATGAATTTCTGGGTATTATAAACCTAATGTCTTCAGCAAACATTTTTACTAGTGCTCATATTGCAGTATTAATATTTTATTGATATAATGAGATTTTAAATGAAATTAATATATAAATAATTTACTTAAATTTTTTTACTATAACTTTTACTATATGGTTAAAGATGTATTGAATGGATTAATATTAACGTCATTTTATAAAAGTATTAATTTTAAATTCTTACTTCCATTCTATAATCTTTTAAACTCTTCTCTAAAAATTTTTATGCCGTTTTTTTGTTCATTCTTCTTCCTTGCACAGATGTTGATAGGTTACGTTTGGGTAAGTGTACATTTTCAACCGTCGCGTTCAGCTGTACCGACTCTAACACAACGCAACGAGGTCCCTTACTTCTCTATTTCTATATAACTCTATTAGTATATGGGGTGTATCTGCCACACAGAGTTTACTGACTATTCTGTGTTAGATAGAATAACGCGTTCTAGCCTTCCAGTAACACACCGATACTAATATTAGCATTAGCGTAGCCATTGATACAGTAACACTGAGTGCGAATATAAAAAGACGAAATACGCGAGCGTAACCAACAAAACATTTAATATGGCTAGCAGCCTTCGTACATATATACACAAGATTTATACATGTCCCAAAACAAATAATTGTCCACATTGTCCCAAAGGAACGAGGAGGTTAAACAGAATTAGAACAAAGAAATAACTTACCAATTTCATGGCCTTTGGTCGTCCCCAGATAAGTGAATGATTTTGTTTCGCTAGGCCGTACTCATGTTGACCAGTTTCCACGTGTGTGTACACCCTGGTGGTCAGGAAGGTAAAGAGATCGTTCCTTCCAGAACGGAAGTAAAGACAAAAAAGGGAGAAGAGTTCTACTCACTAAAAGGGGGCCACAACTCTCATGGGCTAAAGCAAAGGGAAAACAACTGTGGTCTCCCTACAACGCCTTCCTCTATTATAGATCAATTTTTTCCTCCCTCTCTTTTTCTTCTTTCTTTTTTCTTTTTCCTTCTTTCATTCCCTTGACTTTCAAATTTCCTGTGAAGAAACGTGGGAATTCATTCGTTTTAGTAAATGTATTTGCATTGAAAAGTCCTGGGAAAAAGTCTTTCACATGGACAAAATGATCATCTGTATGAGGTAAATTGTTTGGATTTCATTAATTGTAATTCACTTAGACGCTTTATAATAAAAATTATATTGAGATCTCTGTTGTGGATTAGTTTTAATATTTTTTATTAATAGGATCTACTAGGATTACTTACCCACGGATTTTTTTATGTATATATACATACATACATATATATATATATATATATATATATATATATATATATATATTGATAGATAGATATAAGCTGATAGATATATATGAAAAAAAGACTGAGATAGAAAGAAATGGAAAGATATATATATATATATATATATATATATATATATATATATATATATATATATATATATATTTGGTTGGATTGATGTGATTTTTTGACCCTTGGTTTCACGCTTTTGCGATCGTCAGACGATCAAATATTTATATTTATATACACACATTTTTCACACACACACACACACACACACACACACATATATATATATATATATATATAGAGAGAGAGAGAGATATGAAAAACTTAGATACATACATACTTAACGAAAAGACTGAGTTAGATATGAAAAGACATATATATATATATATTGATAAATATGAAAAGATTCAAATAGATAGATAGATAGATAGATAGATATAAGCGGATATAGATATGAAAAAAACGAGAAAAATAATTACATAGATAGATATGAAAAAAATGAAGCAGATAGATAGATAGATAGATAGATAGACAGACAGACAGATAGATAGATAGATAGATAGATAGATAGATAGACAGATAGATAGATAGATAGATAGATAGATATGAAACGACTGAGATAGATAGATAGATAGATAGATATGAAAAGACTGCGATAGATAGATAGATAGATAGATAGATATGAAACGACTGAGAGAGATAGATAGATAGATAGATATGAAAAGACTGCGATAGATAGATAGATAGATAGATAGATAGATAGATAGATATGAAATAACTGAGGTAGAGATAAATAAATGTTTGTCCATCGCTCTTTGACATCGATTCTTGCTATCGACTGGATATTCCACTCGCCAGACACAGTGGTTCGCTTAACGGCTAATGTAATCAACATCTTAGCGGCCATTATCGTGAAAGACTGACGCAGGGCCGTTCATGCCATTTCCCTTTGACGAGAGCAGAATACCGATACAAAGCCTCTAAGGTGGTTTGCTCTACGACCGTCCACTTCATCGAAAATCAAGGAAGCGATTCAAAATGCCTCGCAGCCTGCGATAAAGAGGTGCCTAAGTGGGAAACAGATGCTTGTGATCGAAAAAAACTGGAGGCATACAAAATTCACGAACGCAATAAGAATCTTCCAACGAGTTGGGTAAATTTGCGGCTAGGAAAGGTGAAATATTCCTTCCAGCAATTTAAATGTGACGAATGTGTCAAAGTATGTCTTTCCTTCGTAGGCCTCTTTATCTACATGACGAGTCATATTGGTTGACCTTTGACAAATTGCGATCTGTGTTACACTGTGAATAAATAAACATACGACTTGCTTCTGAAAATCATCAGAAATCGATCCGTTCTCAAATGAACACCCAAGAGCAACCGGAACAGAAATTACAAAACAAGCTAGGCCCCGTACAAAACAAATTAGTTTGATGTGTTCTCAATAAGTGCTGCAAGTAACTTGCGAATTTTAAGCGCCATTTTGGCTCTCATGAGAACTTGTCAGCAATAGTCATACACATGTAGTAAGTTTAGCTTAGACGTGGCATAAGGCCGAAAGTATGGGGTACCCAGTGAGGATCGAGCTCACTATTAAGCCATAATTCAGCTAGCGAGACAAGCCTGCTAACCATTAAACTACATCGAGTTTCCCATTCTTGTATGCACACACACACACACACACACACACACACACACATATACATATATATATATATATATATATATAGAAATAATCACATAGAATTAATCAGAATATATGCGATTATTGGCGACATCCATCGCTAGAAAACATAATATATGCATTAAAATCCTGTTCATCCATAGTGCGAGTTTTGATCCTTGAAGAAAAAAACTTGTTGTCTGTAGTTTTTCAGTTTATTTGATGTTAAATTCAGGTATATATATCGTCTCATGGGAAGACTGTCCGTAAGTACTAGCATTTTAACATCAAATAAACTGAAAAACTACAGACAACAAGTTTTCTTCAAGGATCCAAACTCGCACTATGGATGAACAGGATTTTAATGCATATATATTATGTTTTCTAGCGATGGATGTCGCCAATAATCGCATTGATACTTGATTAATTCTGTGTGATTATTCTTTGTATGTAAATCATATGCTGCCTAATGTTTTATGTTTATATATATATATATATATATATATATATATATATATATATATTCAATAAGACACACACACACATACATATATAATTATTTATTTTAAAAAAATTACAACATAAATATGTTATAAAATCACTACAAAAATAGACATTTTGTTTCAACACCACCGGTGTCTTATCAAGTGATGATGTTGAATGTAAAACATTTACATTCAACATCATCATTTATGTTATAATTTTTTTTAACTAAATAATTATATTCGCTCTACTCTGTATTGAGCACTCTTTTAAGAATAGTAATTGTTGGTTATTGAATTCATTCCGTATACATCAATTATATATATATATATATATATATATATATATATATATATATATATATATATATATATATATGCTATGTTATCGAAATTTTGTCTAGTCTGGCAAAAGGGTTCTTTAGAATTGCAATGTCATGGAAAATATGCTTGTATTACTTTGTGGCTGGCGTCCCAATTATTACACATTCATAGAGCTTGCTGCATCTGACACAAGTAGAAGAAGATTATATTGCGCCAATTATTGCGAAATTAAAAAAGTTGGTTGTTAATGAGTAAGATGATCCTAGAAAAACAGTATTATTCTTATCTTTCAAGTGTAGTTCTGTTTAGTGAAGACTGTGCTGCGTCAATATTTTAAGGTGTTAGCTGCTTAGTATTGGATAAGGCCAAATGAGTAAAAAATTGTAGGTAGATTGTGTTGCGCTATGAAAAATGAGTTTAATATGTGATTTAACCAGAAGGATAACCTCCTGATGGATGTTTGTGTTATCTTGCTGACATCCATTAAAATCTGCCATGGGAAATTTTAGTTTTTACCTGGTATAAATTAAAGCCAGAAATGAGATATCTTCCAAGGAAATCAATTCTGAAGTTTTTGTATGTTTCTTTAGTCATCGATCTAGGAAATTTGATAAGACAGAGGGACAATATCGGGGGTCCTAAAAAGGACTGAACTTACGATTATACATATACATTAATCGCGAGACTAGCCTTTATCAACACAAATGCAAGCGATTATAATTCAAATTCTGCCCAAGCGACCATTACAATTATATCGAAAATTTATACAAGACTAGAAAGACCCGTGAAAATTACGGTTTTCCAATTTGAAATTTCTGATGAATCTTAATTCTTCAGTTAATGATTGAATAAGCTGATGGCGAGTTCTACGACAATAAAATATCCGTAGAAATTCCCCTATCGCATCGTTAAATATTTGAGCTTAACAACCTTAACAAAACTAGAAAGACCCGTAATAATTTCACGGTTTTCCTATTACAAATTTCTGATGAAAATTTAATTCTTCAGTTAATGATTGAATAAGCTGATGGTGAGTTCTACGACAATAAAATATCCGTAGAAATTCCCTATCGCATCGTTAAATATTTGAGCTTAACAACCTTAACAAAACAAGAAAGACCCGTAATAATTTCACGGTTTTCCTATTTCAAATTTCTGATGAATCTTAATTCTTCAGTTAATGATTGAATAAGCTGATGGCGAGTTCTACGACAATAAAATATCCGTAGAAATTCCCTTATCGCATCGTTAAATATTTGTGCTTAACAACCTTAACAAAACTAGAAAGACCCGTAATAATTTCACGGTTTTCCTATTTCAAATTTCTGATGAATCTTAATTCTTCAGTTAATGATTGAATAAGCTGATGGTGAGTTCTACGACAATAAAATATCCGTAGAAATTCCCCTATTGCATCGTTAAATATTTGAGCTTAACAACCTTAACAAAACTAGAAAGACCCGTAATAATTTCACGGTTTTCCAATTTTAAATTTCTGATGAATCTTAATTTTTCAGTTAATGATTGAATAAGCTGATGGCGAGTTCTACGACAATAAAATATCCGTAGAAATTCCCCTATTGCATCGTTAAATATTTGAGCTTAACAACCTTAACAAAACTAGAAAGGGCCGTAATAATTTCACGGTTTTCCTATTTCAAATTTCTGATGAATCTTAATTCTTCAGTTAATGATTGAATAAGCTGATGGCGAGTTCTACGACAATAAAATATCCGTAGAAATTCCCCTATTGCATCGTTAAATATTTGAGCTTAACAACCTTAACAAAACTAGAAAGACCCGTAATAATTTCACGGTTTTCCTATTTCAAATTTCTGATGAATCTTAATTCTTCAGTTAATGATTGAATAAGCTGATGGCGAGTTCTACGACAATAAAATATCCGTAGAAATTCCCTTATCGCATCGTTAAATATTTGAGCTTAACAACCTTAACAAAACTAGAAAGACCCATAATAATTCCACGGTTTTCCTATTTCAAATTTCTGGTGAATCTTAATTCTTCAGTTAATGATTGAATAAGCTGATGGTAAGTTCTACGACAATAAAATATCCGTAGAAATTCCCCTATCGCATCGTTAAATATTTGAGCTTAACAACCTTAACAAAACTAGAAAGACCCGTAATAATTTCACGGTTTTCCTATTTCAAATTTCTGATGAATCTTAATTCTTCAGTTAATGATTGAATAAGCTGATGGCGAGTTCTACGACAATAAAATATCCGTAGAAATTCCCTTATCGCATCGTTAAATATTTGAGCTTAACAACCTTAACAAAACTAGAAAGACCCATAATAATTCCACGGTTTTCCTATTTCAAATTTCTGGTGAATCTTAATTCTTCAGTTAATGATTGAATAAGTTGATGGCGAGTTCTCCGACAATAAAATATCCGTAGAAATTCCCAATAAAATATCGCATCGTTAAATATTTGAGCTTTAACCTTAACAAAACTAGAAAGACCCGTAATAATTTCACGGTTTTCCTATTTCAAATTTCTGATGAATCTTAATTCTTCAGTTAATGATTGAATAAGCTGATGGCGAGTTCTACGACAATAAAATATCCGTAGAAATTCCCTTATCGCATCGTTAAATATTTGAGCTTAACAACCTTAACAAAACTAGAAAGACCCGTAATAATTTCACGGTTTTCCTATTTCAAATTTCTGATGAATCTTAATTCTTCAGTTAATGATTGAATAAGCTGATGGTGAGTTCTACGACAATAAAATATCCGTAGAAATTCCCCTATTGCATCGTTAAATATTTGAGCTTAACAACCTTAACATAATATTGCAATAACAATCATAGATATGAATGCTCGTCGTTATGTTAAGAAGTAAGGGGATAGAAAAGAAAAAAATTTAAAATTAACAACTTTTTCCATTTCATTGAAACACTCATTAAACACACTTTTTTCTTCCCTGAAATTTGAAAATATTTATGATTAGTGAATCTTTACATTCAGATTTTAGATTGATTCAAGGACAATTGGAAGAGAAGCAGCAATCTAAATGTTTCATAAAAAGTGTTTGGGTACAGATTATCTTATTGGGTACGGATTATTATAACTGGTAGGATTATCTAATTCTCTTAATCGGTTGTATAGGTTGGACATTATCAGCAAAAAGTGTGAATCGAGGAAATTTTATTTCTTCACAAAGCCAAGGAATCAGGTTTACAGTAATAGAATTCCTGACGATGTTTTGAATTTTCGCAGAGTTTGTGATTTGAAGAACTCAATTTTCGGCCTTGATTGGGATTTTAGCCCAAATTAGAGTTTCGG